TTGGTCAATCCCATTTTGAGATGCGCCAGCGCAAAGAACTTCCATTCGGAGTTAGTGGCGTTGGGATGGGGATGGGTTTGTGGCATATGCAAAAAGACTTATGTGCAGCCAGCCGAAGCTTGGTCAGTCTGGAGCGATACCCTTTCGGATTCGATCATCGGACTCTACAGTACCTCACTTAGCAGAATACCGTCTTTGCCCCACAACTGTTTCATATATTTATCTATCACTGCTGACTATTATTTATTTGTTTACCGACTCCAATTTTGTTTGATGACAGTTACTTTATCTGCCTTCATGTTATAAATGCCTGTTGGAAGGCAAGTTTAGCCGAGCCTGCACTGCCATATGCATCCACCACTAGCCCAACAGTCATAAGCTTGATTGTCCTCGACTGAACACGACCTTATGCAGTTTGAGCCAGAATCAGGACCTTAGAATTTGGCACCCTTGACCACTATGCTACACCCCTTTACAGTGAGCTATCCATTTATGCAATCCCTCACAATTTTTGACGTCTTCTTTGATGTCTTCTTTAATGAATACCAGTAATTCGATCTTGTGGTGGATCCCGTAGAAAGCGTGAAATCCAATCCTGTAAGTACGCTTTCCCAGCAATGACAACACTTCTCGCGCATCAAATTACTATTAGAAAAAAATGTCTGCAAAAATCGCCCATTCGAAGAGAATTGGGCAGTTGCAAGGTCTTGTAGAACTTTGGCCTTGGCCAGCTTACTTTCAAAAGAAAACGGAACCACGTGGAAATGCCCCTGGGACTCAAACTCCTCAGTAAGATCACTCTTAAGCATACCTTTCTAAGGAAAAGGAGAATCATAGCGTTTTCAGTTTTCGACTTAAGTCTGGTACGTGAGGAGTACAGGAGGGTGATTGTAGTGAGAGGCTCAGGGCAAGTAACTCCGTAAACTCTACCACAAAGTATTCACTCAGCCTAGTTTTTACACTTAATTCTGTCTGGTCTCAATGACCGACCTGCTGAGCTTTGGCAGGAGTCGATCTATGGGTCACACCTGCTCTATTGGCGCCTTTTATCACTGCACCACCTCAATCAAACTTGAAAACGACTTTAGACCTGAACTATTTATTGCAGAATTTATTAGTACACTACACTTTTTTTTCTTAAAACTATTAAATCACAGAATTAATTGAAATGAGAATCATCAGTGGGGAATGGAAGAGATTTTAACGGCGTCGGAAAAACCCGGAATGATTTGAAGGGACCGTGAAATCGCAGTGACGAGGTAATCACTAGGAATGGATAACTTCAGTAAACACACAATGACTAGATTGAAACAAAAGAAGTGAAAATCATGTAGAAAGTTATGGAAATGGACAGCTCATAAGTCATACATAAGGATCGATAGGACTTGTTATTTATATATTGTTATTTATATACATATAGCCAAGAAACTTGGAGATCTGGTAACCTCCAGAATATTCTCTCTAAAAATATCTCTCGAAGCCCACTTTCAAGGGGCCGTTCTATGGCTTCTGAGATTAAACTCGAGAACTAGCGGAACAGTAGGATGTAGTGATGACAAGGCAAGTCGGGCCAAGTGACAATGAGTGGTGGAGGCCCATAGGGCGCCTTTGGAGGCCACTCAGACTTGTTCAGCTTCAGCGGCTGCCGATGGTGTCTGGAGCTTCATCGTCAGCCGACATTGAACGATCCGTTCACAGCAACGGAGGGAAATCACCACCAGACAGGCGTACAGTAATAGAACCGCATCTGAAGTTTTTTGTTTATCTATTTTTATTTATTTTTGCATTACTTTTTTTTCTTATTGAAATATTGGAGAAATTGGAAAAATTTTCTCCCTTCTCAGAGAGAAATCTGGTCTTGTTTAAAACAGGATTTGTGACGAATGCTGAATACTTGCATTGATGAAGATTCCAACCAAATCAAATTGAAGAAAAAATAATGGCTAAATTTTCTATTGCTTCCGACTGAAATGAATAGTTGAGAAAGAAACTGACCAAGGAGAAGTGCAAATAGGATCCATTCGAAAAGCACTTCTTTTGGCATTTCACCGACCAATACGTACAAAACCACAGAAAAGACTATCATGGTGATCCTAAAACGGACAACTTTACACTATTGGCAAGAGAAGAGATGGGAACTTGAGATCCACAGAACATGGAACTTTGGAGACTTTCCACCTTGAACGGGCTGTTTACGGTCGTTGAAGCTCCCATTGTCAATATTCAATGCCCATACAAAAATCCTTAAAAATCTTGTTTCGCGCCGTTTCCGATCAGGAACGGCCGGATTCGGGATGAGATGAAAAAAGGTGTCCCATAAAATGAACGGAGCCGGTTCGGCGCCAAGTAGTTTGATCAAAAGTTCCATCCAAGGAGATTTCTGGACTAGAATGGCGGGGTAAAACCCAAAACCCAAAAAGGCGCTGTGCAACAACTTTTTTGATCGTATCGCCTTTAGAAACGGAGCTGAACGCCCAGGGCCATACCAAAAGGTTATCAAAGCAGTATTTTTTGAAAAAATTGCAAAACTCACGTGTATACAAAGCCGATGACTAGAAGAAGAATGTCGAGTACGAGATGTGATACGAATAAACTTCGTCGGGCTACACAAACTCCAACCAGGTAAGGGAAGAGCGTCAAAAGCTGACATGCACACCATAGGTCGAACATCGTACGAGCTATACAAGTTGCAGATGAGGAGAACGTTGACAGTTGCGACTGAAAAGTCGTTAGTTTAGCCTGGAACAGTACTGAATCCCACTTAGCATTGTCCAGAGCTGCTAGAGCCGATTGTTTTGAGGGTACCCCTTTAACAATGGAGCTACTCACGAAAAACTTGCTGATAGTCGATAAGGGTAAAAATATAGGTAAAGTTGTTCACCTGAAAATCGCCATCCTTACGTAGATCCTCTTGGTGTTGGTGGTGTTGCAACGATCGGTCCGGGGGATAGTTAAATACGCCAGAATCGATGGCTTCATCTAGGCTTCTATCGAAACCGTGTTTCACTGGTCGAGGTGGCCGAGTTGGTTGCTGCTAAAAGTTAGTAAACAATCAATAAGTTAAATAAACAAATAAGTAGAATTAGAATCAGAATAATGGCATCCTGCAATGATAATTTGCATAGCATGAATGCTACCTGAACGTCCTGTGCTGCTGACGGCAGTTCGCTGTTCAATCGTTCAAGAGTACTCTTCTCGCGGTGTAGTACTGGCAGAGGTACTTGAATAGCTACAAATCGCTTTTCTTCCTCGGTTTCTACTCCGGAAGGTACCCAGGGGGTCCTGGTGACTGGTATCATTGTGGTGGTTGTGGTTGGAGGCGCCGCAGTCAACCTCCAGGTGGATAGGGTGTGAGTTGAATAGAAACTTCGCTTAGTGGGAGCTGGTGTTGTTGTTTCACTTTCGGCAGTTGGAAGTGGTAGATGAACGACTGGTACGGTAGGAGCTTCCTGTAAAGTACATTAAAAATGGAACATATTCATTTATTCCCCCACTTTTTTGCCACGACCCACATGAGCCCATCCTAGACAATCCTACTCAGTGAGCAGAACTAGGTAGGCCGTACAGGTACGATCCATGGCCAGGAAAAGCTTCAGAGGACTCAATACAACAAACTAATACGGTTTAAGGAACCTCCCCCTGGTTAGTTCCATTCACCTTGAGCTACCTACAGTGTGAAGGGTACCTTTTTGAACCTTACAGTCAGATCTACGGAGCCTCTTTCGTAGAAAAAAGGAAATGTTTTGCGAGGGAAAGTTTTTACCCATAAAACATATTCCAGGGTTCGAAAAGGTAACGATACACCCTGTAGCCCACCAGAGCCTCTTACTGTAAGCCAGCAGTGCAACGAACCTCCTCCTCCTCTTTGAGTTTGGTCATGGCAGTGGTTTTTAGTGCAGCAGCATGGGTCGTATAGTTCAACTCGTCCATTTGCCACATAAGACGAGTTTCCTCGGAGAGACGGCTCGAAGGCTAAAAGGATAACGTGGCATAGCGGCGGTGATAGGAATTTGATTTGTATCGTAGTCACTGTAGCCACTTACGGTTGGCTTCCTTGAGGCGACATGCATGGGATAACCCCGGATATGGCCTGAAAATAAGTGACTTGTAAGCAGGGTAAACATAACGGGGATCACAAGAGAGACGTTCACGTTACGGGTTTCCTCAAGCAGCTTCTAATGCATTTTTGCCGCAAAAGCCGAATCTAATGACCACCCCAAACTGCTGTGCCATGGCTGTTCATGGCCAAATTTTTTGAAACAGACCTTTATTTGAGAATCGTGGATCTTTCGGATCGATTGCGCCATGGAGAAAACTGCTCTGATGAGGTCGTGGAGTTGTAAAATGTGGCACACCTGGTGATGAGAGAAGGTGTCGAGGAGATTTCGTCTGCTCACTCGTGCCTGTAAACTTTTTTTTCTCATGGCAAAAGTACTGACTAAGTAAAACAGCCTGATTTGGGTAGAACTTGAACCTTGAGTTCGATCAGAACCTGTTCGATTGTCCAAACGATTCTGTTTCTTCTTATGACCACCTTTCCGTTTCTTCGGTACAGGCGGTGGTTCCTCCGTTGAACTGGGTGCTGACTGGCCGAGCTTCTTTTTCTTCTTTTTCCCCTTTCCTTTTCGTTTTCTGGGCTTTTCGAGGAACGTTCTGTCTTCTAGACTTTTCTGAAATAAAGTTTCAAATAGATTCGTCTTCATCGATTGCTTATTTCTTTGTATATCTGTTTGTTTACTTATTAGTCTTACAATTCCTCATTGAAATTGACTTGAAAATGGCTCCTCCAAAACTCTTTTTTTAAAAATGAATCCACCCCTATTGCTGAGATGTGAAGGAAGGACCATTCAATAGGGGCAGTAAATACAAGTAAGCAAAAAAACAAAAATAAATAAAAAATGAATTAAATGAACAAATATTTTAATGGATTTTTCCCACCTCTTCGCCTCTTTTCTGGATCTTGGTGATGTAAACAAGCGGTGGAGAGTCGATGTCAAGCTCGAGCATATCGTCATCATCGCCCTTTAGATAGTAATTTTAATTGATCGCAAGGGAAGTTCGAAATAAGGGAAGAACGAGCAGAAAAAGGGAAGAATTCGAAAGTGCAATAAGAAATAAAAAGACATAAAAGATATGGTACTCAGTGACGGGTAGCCAAATAAAAGAGGGAAATAAATTTGGGTAGTGAAAAAGGAGAGTCCCACACATGCCTCCCACCCTCATTGCTGCTCACCTTTTCAGAAAGAAAGTATCCACTTTAAAACTTTTAAATTGCTACCATCTCTCATTAGGTTGATGGGTTGAATGCGTTGGGCCCTGCGACGGCGCGGGATTACGTTAGGGAGAAGAAGAAGAAAAGGAAGTTTAGGTTGAATGCATGGCGTATGTTGGAAAGACGGTTCATCAATGTCGGAAGCTTTTTTTGATTTCTCCTTTTTTGTTTTATTTTGCTTTTTTCTTTTGTTTTTTTTTTGTTTTTTTACATCCTTATAGGCAAAGATGACTGGTTCTTACCACTTCGCTAATCGGTTTCACTCGATTTCGTATTGTTTTCATTCGAAGGCTATCTCCATCAGCTGGCAACAGTTGAGTGTTCGTCATGGTGTACATCGTTGTTGGCACACCCTGAAAAACACCAACGAAATAAAAAAGGGGATAAAAATAAATTCGAAAATGTTCTCAGAAGCTACGAGTTCCAACCGTACCTGCAACACTTCTTTCTTTCTGTGCTTGGCAGATTTCTTTCGAGGATCGAGACCGGCTTCTTGTGGGAAGGGAGATCTGAAATGGGTGGTAGGTCGAGCCAGGATGAAACTATGCAGGAATCCTTGAATCTCTAGATTTTGGGAACCAAGAAATTGGGAGTTTGCGTGCTCTATAGACTCATACCTTTTGACTCGCTCATGAAACTCTTCGCCGTAGTAGTTCAGTGGAGGTCCATCTGAAGAAAATACAGGAATTCGAAGAACATCTGCTGATCGCCTTTTCACCATTTCTCCATCGTTGGATGACGAAGACAAAAGAGTGCATTGAAAATCAAAGTAGAAATATTCTGAAATCAGGTGGTCTATCGTTCAGCTCAGGTACAGGCAAAAATGCTCTGTTCTGCCTTTGAATTGCCCTCCCCGTTGTCTGAATAGATTTTTCAAAACGGTTTTAAAGCAGGCTGGTCTATCTTCTAATTTGCATTTTCCATGCATTTGAAAAATTGTTTGATAACGTTATGCTTAAACACACAGTAGACAGCTTGGGAAACGGGCAGTTTAATCGATTTTGTCCAATCGATTCGCCGCACGCGGCAGTCGCAGACCAGTTGTCTCGTTATTGCATTTCTAGCGTTCTTCGTAAAGCTTGATCGATATGCGATTATTATTTTTGGCATGGTTCTACTGTTATTTCTTTTATTCCTGCATTTTATTACTGGCTGTGATGCTTTTGCTTCATTCTGCTACACTCCTTCGTGCGCGACGTCGCTCCCGCCGCGAAGCGACCATTTCGATTCAACTGCACAACACTCGATATGTTGTGAATATTTCAAAGTCTCACCTCGTACAAGCCAACCACATATTAATGACGATTTGATAAGAACGATAAAAGTGAGCAGTAGTCGAACCGGACAACCGAGATAGCGTTCTGATTTCCTGAAATCACCTTTTACGTGAGTAAATATAAATAAATGATAATAATCGGGTGATAGAAATAATATATACACCATAAGGAAACAACCAGCTTCAAATCTCCTGACGTTAGAGTTTCTCTTTGAAGTTTTCGTGCCGGAGAACAACTACAACGTCAGAAGATTCCAGATCCGAAATTTAAGGAGATAAGCTGATGGAGGTATTGAGAATTATCTCTTTGACCTTGTTATCCAGTTGTACTAAGGCCGTGGTAGAAGCCTAGTGACACGGGACAGCTTAAAGGTAAATCCAATCGGATATAAACTGAAACGTCAACTAGTTGGACAGGGCTTGAAAATTAGCGACCAGTTAAACTATAGAAATCCACATTAGACGATGCTTAGGCTGAATTATCCTCAGTTATCATAAAGTATTGTGTAGTTTTTCCTGACTTACTTCCGTTTTTAGAGCCTTAGTCCGCATGACTGACTATTAGGAATGATAAACAACAGAAAGTGAACAGTATAAACAATAAACAGCTAGACTTGTTTCACATAATTACTCCCACCTAGCATGTCCACGTAGTATGGCTCCAGCTTTCATATCGATCAGTTGCTGCTTACCGACTGGCGTTGTCGGTAATGTAGACATCTTATAACAGAAGGTAGCCTCACATTAGACTTTTCATCTGGAATCACTTTTGAAAATCGGGTACTCTTCAAATTCTACAAGGAATTTTTCCTCGAGTAATAGAAGGATCAAGAGCTACAGTAACAGAGCTTAAAGGATCTCAGACAAGGAAAAAATAGTCAAAAAGAATACTAATTTTCATAATTGTAGCGAATTCATTGACACACATGAATAATGTTGGATTGTTCGGGCACTTACGGGAGGGTGGCTGACTGGAAAACGGGAGAGAGTCGGAAAAAGAGCAGAAGGAGGTTCAGAAAAAAATGCATAAGTACAAAAAAAATAATTGCGATTGGTCTCTTTTCTCTAGACAAAAAGCAAATACTTCTCATAATTCATAATAGTGGTACTGACCGTATAAAGTCAAGTTGAATGGTGTTGCTGCAGAGTGAATAATGCGCTAGAAATTTTACATTTTCAGTTTCTCAAAGGGGGGAACCTACCCAGTACTGGCCAAACAAAGAAAACTAAAAAAATTGAAAATCAAAAAGCAAGAAATGACAGTTTTCCTGCGGGAGCTTATCAATCAGAGGCGAATAAGACAGTATTTTTATGTAATTTTCCAAAAGCACCAAAGATCTCCAATGAATTTTTTGGTGTCAAGTTGAAAACGCCATCAATCATCTATTATCCCAGAAACAATGCGAATGCACGGCTTATACTGGCTGCCTCCTGTGAAAAAAGGAAAGTTCCCGAGTCTGATGTCACAGCGAAAACACGGCTCATGAAAGAGCGTAAGCTCAATTAGTGGAAAGGGATTAGAGATAGTGCTTCAGTTCAGTTATAGAAGATTATCACTTGTGACTGAAAGCTATCTTCAACTATTATTCACCATTAAACGTACAACTGAAGCAAATGCCATATGATCATAAGGCCAATGGATTAAACAATTACCAGGTAATGAGAAAAAGTAAAAAAGGAGTCTGTGAGAAAATTTCTTCGATTTTGTATTCAATTAGAGTTTTATTTATTGAAATGTTGAAATTAGTTTAGTGAGAAAACTTAATAACAAGTATGGAAAAAGACAAAGCAAAGAAGGTTCTACCTCCATCTAATCCCTACCCTCGAATGAACGGTTGAGTAAATGAAAGCGAACAAGTATTACTCTGAAAAATATTCATTTCCCAAGTCGTAGGACCTTGCATGAGGGAATGTCCATCGCAAGGGTGCATGAGATATCAACAATTATGGATAAGTAATTATAGTAAGCGATAAATAGTTATATTTGGTAATAAACATGCTATTATGGCAAACTATTTATATTATATTTAATACAGGGTTATATTTACTATGAAAGGCCTAGCACTATAGTGAACCAAACACACTTTATAGCCATATTTAGTAATAGCCATAGTCTTCCGGTAAACAAATTATAGTATATGCTTATATTCGGCAACAGAGTTGAAGAGCAGAATCCGAAACGACCAGGGCACGGTTCACAGAAGACCATCGCATTAGTGCAGTACTGTACCGACCCCGGTACAGTGTCCTTTTCATGGACGCGGCTACCGGCTTGCAGCTAAAAAGGTATGCATTCTTGGCTAAGAGGACGAGTTCCCTCATGAATTTATGGATGAGAAGATGCTGCTCAAAAGAATGCCAAAGCAAGAGTTTCTCTTGTCCGGGAGCAAACTAATAATATTCAATGAAGCAACGACGTAGGCTACTTTTCAGATGGCTCATCGAGGGGCACGGTAAGCCGACAAAAAATGGCGAGGAGGAAATCACTGAGCCGGAAGTAGGGAATGAGTTTTGTATAATTTCAGTGATTTTCAATGATCTACACGGACTTTATTCGATTATATAGAAGCATGCTATGAGGAGTCAGCTGCTTCTATAATTGAACACAATATAACTGGAAAGTTCAGAGCTTAAAAATGAAAAAATAACATTTTTTAATTCACTTTGTAATAAATAAGAGAGTTCAAAACGACAAGATTCGGTAACTTCATCTGAGTCATTTATTACAAAAAAAAAGAGCAGGCCTACGTAGCAAGATGGTTTGGCGCAATAAATCGAAAAAAAGGTGAAGAACATAAGCTAACACATAATACTATGCGATATTAAGAGCGATTTTTTAATTTCCATGGAATTCTAGGCTCTATTTCATCTCAGAATAAAATCACTTTTCACGCTTACAAGTTCTCCCCTTCGCCTTTGTCCTATTCCTTCGCGACCTCGATCGTCTATTTAATGATAGAAAAGCTCCTAATGGACAAAGAGCCTCCGCGAGAGCAGGTAGCTCAGGATCACCCAGTAGACGTATTCTCAACTCTGAAGAAGATCAAGGGCATGGCGCATACCAAAGGATCTACCGGATAACGACGCTATTTTTCTCTTTGAAAACATCTAGAAGGAAGGTATAAATGAAGCAAAAGTAACTTGAAAGCGTGGGTGACTTATGCTTTGATGGCAATAGTCTCTGATATCAGTAGAGAAAATGAAAAATGAAGGAGTATCATTGAAGAACACGGAGACAGGCAGGTTAATAAGATGTTCTCGAGACGAGAAGGGAAAGTTACTCGGCGGGGAGAAGTCCTTGTAAGCCGTTGGCAAATCGGCTTTGAAGATTTATTGACTCCAAGGATACGCTCACAGCTGCAGTTTCTTTGCTTCGGCAGGTGAATAATCAGAATAAAAGCAAAGATCGAAGAGGGTAATGTCTGTGTCCGACCACAAGAACGAAAAATGCTCGGAAATTATCAGTCTGAGAATTTGCAAGTATTTCCTTTACAAGAAACCTTCAAACTAAGTTCATTAGTCCGTAATATTATTATCAGAACATAGCGTATTCTGCAGAGGGGTTCATGAGAGCCTAAAGACGCATCAAAGTAAAACTGCTTTCCACGGGGAACAAGTCTGGAGGAATCAAGGCAAAAACCAAAGAATTAAATAAAAATTCAAAATTTAGGTTAGAGCATCACTTTGGTATTTCAAAACTAGAGGCCACAAAATCGGGAAACTCGCCAGAAAGGTTCGCTTTGTTGAGAGCTGCCTCCAGAGCAATTTCGTGCTTCTGATAGCTACTAACAAACAAAAAGTCAATGTAGCTGCTGGAATCTAATTTATATAGCTAGTGTGCCATTCGGCGTTCAGAGAGCCGATTTTTAATAAATGGCTAAGAAATGTGAGCTTGCACTTTGGGATGGTCANTGAGAATTTGCAAGTATTTCCTTTACAAGAAACCTTCAAACTAAGTTCATTAGTCCGTAATATTATTATCAGAACATAGCGTATTCTGCAGAGGGGTTCATGAGAGAGAGAGCTTCATGACGATTCAAAGAAAAACTGTTTACCCCGGAGATCAACTCTGAAGAAATCAAGACAAAATTCGAAGAATTATAATGAATGAAAATTCAAAATTTAGCTTCGAGCATCACTTTGGTATTTCAGAACTAGAGGCCACAAAATCGGGAAACTCGCCAGAAAGGTTTGCTTTGTTGAGAGCTGCCTCCAGAGCAATTTCGTGCTTCTGATAGCTACTAACAAACAAAAAGTCGATGTAGCTGCTGGAATCTAATTTATATAGCTAGTGTGCCATTCGGCGTTCAGAGAGCCGTTTTTAATAAATGGCTAAGAAATGTGAGCTTGCACTTTGGGGTGGTCAATTTTGAATTGACATATCGTAGCCTTCCATATCTAAATTGAAGAAAGCAGCTTAATGGGATTCTATTTGAATTGGGGCA